CAAATTGAGTCCATCTAGTCAATTTAGGCAGGAAATCACTGTCGTGGACGCCAGCGGTTCTACATGGCACAACCGGCGTTGATATGGACTTTTTTTTAATAATTTTTTTGGTTTTTTTTTCCTTTCACTGTGCCGGCGAGCTCCGCAACCCTCGCCCAAATGTGGGCAAAGCCATTGCAACTGTGGGCAAGGCCACCTTGCCTAGATCTGAGCGAGGCCAGCCTCACCATGGCCTTGCCAGCTACGAGTGATTGAAAAGGATAGCCAACAGGGACACACCTTGGACGTAAATAGGCAAGCTTTGAATGAATTCATCGTTGTTCGAGACCTAGTCGGCGATGAGATCTCTCTTTGGCTGCAGTCCTTTGTACGATCCCTTCACTCGAAAATGAACACAAAGCATATGATTAACGAACGCGAATCTAAGAATTCTGTGTAGAAGCAAAGCGATGTGGAAGCGCCTCTACCAGCAGAGACGAAGAAGCCCTGACAGAGCACGGGAAAGTAGGGCTCAAACGACGATGAAGGCAAAGGCAATGGGGGTTGGAGGGAAGGAAGTCACGGAGGAGCATAGTTCCTACTTCCAGACCTGGGCAAGGCGGCCTCACCAACGGCCATGATGGTTTGGGCGAAGCCTTGCCAAACGTGGGCAAGGCCACCTTCACTCGCGGCCACGATGGCCTCGCCCAGTAGTCGGTGAGCTCACCGGCCACAATGAAAGGAAAAAAAAAGGGAAAGAAGGAAAATAGAAGAAAAGGAAAAAGAAAAGGAAAAGAAAAAAATAAAATTCATAACATTTTTAAAAAATTGAAAAAAAATTGTGTACGTGAGCATTAGCCTTGCCACGTAAGACGACCGACATCCACATTAGTAATTTTTTACCTAAATTGACCGAATGGACTTAATTAGCAAAACGTGAAAATATTTATGAATAAATTGGCACATTTAAAAAGTTTAGGACCGAACATTTTTGGTACTTTTCTCCTTTTAGAGATGTAATGCAAGGATCGTTTAAGAATTGGAAAATCTCACTTTTGACTTAAACATATGGATCACACGAGTATCTTTTTATTGCAATTTCTGGTTGAGCCTCTTATAGGGTGCATGCAAGAGTCGTTTATATAATTTAACCAAAACCGAAGGTGAGTTATTTTCCATATTAAATTTGCGAATGAATTAATTGCTATATGGTGCAGCACTTCATATTGGTTAAATTGTTTACTCTGAGCTAAGTGACTAATACGGGAAAAGTGTCAAAAAAGTCCTAAATCTTTTGCATTGGTGCCAATTTAGTCCTAAATCTTTTTTTGGTGACAATTCAGTCCTAAAACTTTTGCATTTGTGCCACTTGAGTTCTAAACCTTTTTTTGGTGCCAATTAAGTCCTAAACCTTTTGTATTGGTGCCAATTGAGTCCTAAACCTTTTGCACTGGTGCCAATTCAGTCCTAAACCTTTTGTATTGATGCCAATTCAGTCCTAAACCTTTTGCATTTGTGCCAATTCAGTCCTTCCGGTTAATTTAGCTCAAAAAGGTTTAGGACTCAATTGACTCCAATGCAAAAAGTTTAGGACTAAATTGGCACCAATGCAAAAGGTTTAGGACACAATTAGCACAAAAAAAAGGATTAGGACTCAATTGGCACAAATGCAAAAGGTTTAAGACTAAATTGGCATCAATACAAGAGGTTTATGACTGAATTGGCACCAAAAAAGGTTTAGGACTAAATTGACACAAATGTAAAAGGTTTAGGACTGAATTGGCATAAAAAAAGTTTTAGGACTAAATTGGTATAAATGTAAAAGATTTAGGACTTTTTTGACACTTTTACCTTACTAATACATTCAACTTTTTCTTATCTCTACTGACGCTTTGGAAGTGGTTCTGTGCCAACTCGCGATATTGGTGCAGCATTACTTCGTGGAGAGTGGAAAAACTGATGGGAGCATGATTCTTGATCCAAGGGAGGGGATATCCTGTTAATATTTTCAGTATTTTATGGAGAAAGTACATTTTGTGTGGTTCATTGCATGCACTTAGAGGGCTTATTCGTTTCTTTTCCCCTGGTACAAGCGCTTCTGTTTTCCCTTTAATGTAGTTTTAGATACAAAAAGATTGAGCAATGGCACGAGAGTATTATAAGGAGAGTAGCGACATTGACAGAACTTTGAGGCGAATGCCCCGTCACCTGGCTGCTGAAAAGGCAGTAGTAGGTTTTTAATTTGTGTTTGCTCATGCAGTTGTTCTTGCTGTGTCGACTGTTCTTTTGTTCAATCCCTTTCTCCAGTTTGGCAATTTCATCTCCTTTGTAGTCCTTTGAACTAATTTTCTTCCCTTCGGTTTCCCTTGTCCTCAATCAGCAGTGTCCGATCGTCATTTTTCTGTAATTATTATGTTGGTAGTTTTCCATCCTTTTTGTTTAAAGACGACACCGCATGATCTGCTTTTTGGCCTTTGGAGCTACAGTCCTTGCAGTTGAAGAAGTTTCCTGGGAACTTACTTGCAGGCATTAAAAGCTATGCCTAAGACTTTGAGAATGATGCGAGTGCTAAGCAGTTAGGAAAAATATGTTGCTCCGTCTGAGCTCTAGTTCAGCAGCTGCTCACAAAATAAAAGGATTTGCTCTACTTGGGCGCCTTCATTTTGTACCGAGGTAAATGGATGGGTGGTTAATAAATGTGTTGGGGATGAGCGAGTAAAGACCACCAAACTTCATTAAAAGGTAAAGAAATTGGTACGTGATTTATTGGTGTATAGGGGTGGGCTAAGGTCACTGATTGATGGGATTAGTGAAGATTATAAAACATTTAGAGAGTTTAGGGTTGGCATATTACTTTGACGATCGGGAATTGTTCTCGCTCGGGCTACGATAACTAATGAAACTCCCTAAAAAAAACAAAGAAGAAATATATTTTTGTACGTCATACTGCGGTCATGATGACGTATATTTTATCGTAATTTTAACATGAAATCGTCGTATTAAAACAAACTTGGAGACCATCTTAATCGACTATTAAGATTTTTTTTTTTGACGATTCAAATATCCATCAACCCACTCACGAAGGGTTTCTTGATGACAATAGAAGGGCTTTCATTATGTCCTTAAACATATTATTTCTCACCATCGAGCTTTCGAACTACTAGCCTAGGGATTAAAGCTTGACCAGAGTTTCAATGGCGTCCACCCCTCTCTCTCACTCTAAAACGCAGAGGAGGAAAGCTCCCTCGGCATCGTCCACGGCCGCTGCACGTCGCCGTCACACGTCGTCTAATCCCCGTCCGTCGCTGGTCCTCAAATCCTCGACCGGCGGTTGTTTTCTACTTCGTTTTTTGGGCTCACCGGCGACTCCTCAGGCTCCTTCAGTCGCTTCTTATCGATGATATCGACCTACTCGTACCTCCGTTGCATCCATTCGAACTTTTTGACCGCTTGGCCTGATATGAACACTCTCAAAGAAGAAGGGATGGCGGGATTTGCTTCCATGCTGTTACATCAGGACAGGCCTGGCGCTGAAACCCAAAAAAAAGAAAAGAAAAAGTGATGTCGATAGTTAACCACGGCTGGAGGAGTCGAGTTGCTTTTCTGGCCCTTGGCCGGTCACGTGGCCATTATCAAAGCTTCGTGTCGTGTCAACCTCGCACCGATGCAGAGGGCGGTACGACTCCGTGCACGCGCAATGATGGCCGAGGGGACCCAACTCGCCCCGCGTGGTCCTATCCGTCGTTTAGGCTTCCCACATGGGAACGCCAATATTAAGGAAGGACACGGAGAGATCCGCTTTCGATGGGAGATGGAGGACCCGCTGCAACGGAGGCTTGGGTCCACAACCAAAGTATAATTTATATATCGAGTCCCAAATCTGTACAAATTATTTTGCGAATAGCAGCAACAAAGGCCTAATTCCAAAACAAAAAATGGAAGAGCTACAGAATTTACCTTGAGCATCTATTCTGGCCCGAACTTTTATTTCGTCTCATAAAAAATTATCAATTTTTACTTAAATCTCAAATTTGACCCGGATAATTTTAAAATTTCATATCACGGGAGCTAGATTTAGGACTCGAGTAAAATTTAGTATTTTTTATTGAGATAAAAAAAAGTTCGGATCAGAATTGTCACTCAAGATAAAATTTGTGCTTTTTTTTTTTGGAATTAGCCACAGCAATAACTATTCTAAAAAAAAAGGTAACCTATTAATTTGTTAACAAAAATGGTGTTAACCGTTGGTAAAATATACTTACCCATATAATCCAAAATTTAGTCATCGTGCAAGTATAAATATTGTAGCGTGCAAGTATAATAATAGGGTATGAATAGCTCTATATCAAATTCTACCTATAAAATGAGGAAGCTTCATTATGAATATAATTATTTTTGCTTGGGAAAAAGGTAAAAAGAAAATGAAGCTTGAAGGTCTGCAATTTAATTCGATCTAGGGTCACTCAATTTTTCTCAGAATTTTACACATAATGAATCTTTTAGAGAGCAAATTTAGGTAGCCAACATAGTAATGAAGAAAAGTAACAGTTTTTTTTCTTTCTAGCGAGCGTTTTATCGAGTGTTTATGGACACTTGTTTAGCAATCTACTACATAATTTTTGGAGCTTTCAATGCATTGAGCTCTCATGTTACGTTGAATAATGTTAGACCCATATGGTCAATGATTAAGGTGGTATTCGGTTTACATAAACTAAAATTATGTCATAACTGCTCCTTTATTTGATAACAGGATGGGGTTCATAAGGCTGCATCAATCAAACCATGATGCCATATGATCCATGTGATTCATGATGGAGGTGGATGGGTGCATTTTGAGAATTTGTGTGATGTGAGTGGTGAGAGAGAACTGATTGAACAATAATAGAGCAGGAGCTTCGGGGTTGGGTTGGAGACGGGGCCTACTTCTTTACTTTCTGAGCCTTTGGTGGCTTCAATGATGCCAAGACTTGTTGGTCCCACGTCCAACCGACTTGCTTCCGAGAAATTAAGGAAAAATAAATGAAATTCAAATTCAAATGAGACGAGATGAAACGCAACGACAGCTTCTTCCGAGAAAGAAAGAAAGCACTCCAGTGCTTGAAAAGTCTTTGGTTCACACCATCATTTGATGCTGTTGTCCTGGAAATTAGAACTTGTGTTTCCTCTCCGCTCGGTACACTTTGTTTCGAACCATACGCGCACTCTCGTTTAATCCTTTGCTGCTCCCGAACCAAGCCATGCCCATCGCAGAGCTCTTTCTTGGGGCCTTTCTTCAAGTGCTGTTTGATAGGTTGGCCTCTCGCGAGCTTCTCAACTTTGCGCGGCGCGAGGGTATCGATAAGCTGCTGAAGAAATGGGGGCAGAGGCTGATCAGGATTGACCACGTGCTGGATGATGCAGAGGACAGGCAACTGAACGGCGATCCAGAGGTGAAGTCGTGGCTCGAAGATCTCAGGAACTTGGCCTACGACATTGACGACTTGCTTGATGAGTTCGCCACAAAATCCGCGAAGAACGAGTCCAAGGCGGAACCCGGTTGTAGCAAGGTGCAATCTCTTCTTCCGAATTATTGCTTCAGATTTAGCCCCTGTGCATTTATGTTCGACTGCAAAATGAGATCCAAGATCGAAGAGATGGATCGAAGATTGCAGGAGATCATAACTCTTAAAGATGATCTGAGCCTGAGAGAGAATAATGGGCAACGATCAGCATACAGCCAATTGGATAGGCGGCCTCCCACTACGGATGGGACCGAGCCTTGTTTTGTTAGTAGGGAGGATGAAAAAAGGCAGATCCTCCAATGGCTGACCCGAATCGAGGACAATAGAACATGTGTGGATCCAGAAGTAATTGCCATCGTAGGGATGGGGGTGTTGGGAAGACGGCTCTAGCTCAGCGAGTCTACCATGATGCTAGTCTCACCTATGATGAGAAAGCATGGGCCTGCGTTTCCGATAATTTCGATTTGCTTTCTATTACAAAGAGTATCCTGGAGATGACGAACCGCCATTTGTCCTGTGAAGGTAAAACCCTGAATTGGCTTCAAGATGAGCTCAAGAAAAACCTTTCGGGGAAGAAGTTTCTTGTCGTATTAGACGATATTTGGAATGAGAATTATGACAACTGGACAATCCTCTTGAAGCCTTTTCAATCTGGAGAGAAGGGAAGCAAGATCATTATCACGACTCGTCACCTCGACATTGCTTTAATGGCCCGTGCTCGACCGATAACTCTCGAAGTGCTATCACCAGATGCTTGTATGACTTTGTTTGCATTTCATGCTCTTGGAGACCGAAATTTCGATGGTCGTACCGATCTTGAAGTATTAGGCCGGAAAATAGTAGAAAAATGCAAAGGTTTGCCATTAGCCGTGAAGGCATTGGCCGGGCTGCTACGCGCTAAAGTCAGTCCCCATGAATGGGAAGCTGTATTGAACAGCAAGATTTGGGATCTACCAGAAGAAAGAATTAACATCCTTCCGGCTTTGAAACTTAGCTACCTCCATCTCCCTTCCTATTTGAGGAGATGTTTCGCTTACTGTGCTATATTTCCCCAAGACTATGAAATCCAGCGAGACGAGTTGATTCGCTGGTGGATTGCAGAGGGCTTGGTTGAGGGAAAAGAAGGAAAGGACCGTTGGAATGCAGGTTTGAATTATTTCGACGAGCTAGTATCTAGATCGTTATTTCAAAATTCGAGTAGCAGTGAATTAAGATTCTTGATGCATGATCTTGTAAATGACATGGCAAAGCTAGTGGCGGGTGCAACCCATTTTAGCTCAGGGGAGCTTGAGTTTGAGCATGATCCAAAAAATTCATCTTTAGCTCGTCACGCCTCAATCATTTCCGGTACTCGCATTGTGCCGGAAACATTCAAGATATATCATGGAATGAAGGGACTTAGGAGCTTCGTATCATTAAGGAAGCCATCTAGCGATTTTTCCTTTTTGTCTCAGAAAGTGATACGTGACTTGTTGCAAGAATTGAAGTACTTGAGATTGCTTTCATTAAGTCACTACTGCATCAGAGAGGTACCGGATTGCATTGGCAAATTGAGGCACCTAAGGCACCTTAATCTGTCGTATACTAATATCAAAATGCTTCCAAAGTCAATTGTTGCATTGTACAACCTAGAGGTTTTGATGTTGCGGGGCTGTAATGAGCTTATCAAATTACCCGAAGATATGGAGAAACTGATCAATCTGAGATATCTCGATATTACCGACACTCCGAGCCTAATAGGGATGCCACTGAATATAGGTAATTTGGTGGGTCTTGAGATGTTGTCGAAGTTTGTAGTGGGAACGGAAAATGGCTCGAGATTGAAGGAGTTAAAAAATCTGGAGAACCTTAGAGGGGAATTATGCATCTCTAATTTGCATATGGTTCGAGAAGCCAGAGATGCCACGGATGCCAATTTATACACGAAGAAGGGAATATGCTGGTTAACCATGCAATGGTGTCAAGATTTTGAGAATTTCCGGGATGAAGAGCTTGAAGCAAAGGTCCTTGACTTACTTCGCCCTCACCAAAACCTTGAAATTCTCGAAATATTTTTTTATGGTGGCCTAGAATTCCCATCATGGTTAGGAAGTCCCCCACATGTTAACATAGTGCATTTACGTTTACACGGGTGTCCTAGGGCCAAAACATTACCATCACTCGGGCAACTATCTTTGCTGAAAGAATTGTACATCGAAGGTCTAAATGCAATATGCAAGGTTGGATCTGAATTTTATGGAACTAGAAGTCCTTTTATGTCCTTAATAACTCTGGAATTCAAGCACATGCCATTATGGGAGGACTGGTCTCATTGGGTCGGCATTGAAGAAGTAGGAGTTTTGTTCCCTCGTCTTGAGCATCTCGTCATACAGGATTGCCCTATGTTGATCGGAAGATTGCCTAGTCAACTAAGCTCCCTCGTAGAGCTTGAAATCAACTCTTGTCCTCGTATGGATGCCTCGCCCTCTATCACGAGCCTTCCATCTCTTGAGAAATTAAAGTTTGGAGGTTGTAATGAGGGGGTGCTGAAGAGTTTGGTGAACTTGACATCTCTAACCGCTCTTGTTATAGAAGATGTTGCTAACCTAACTTGCTTAAGTCATGGGTTTACAAGCTCCTTGATCAAACTGGAGGAGTTGGAGATGAGAAGTTGTGAAAAGCTATTGTACTTGTGGCAAGACATAGATGTAATTGGGAATCTCGCTTGCCTGAAGAGGTTAGTCGTCCGAAATTGTTCGGAATTCATATATTTTGGGGCTGGAGAAGGAGATATAGAGCTGCCCATCAATCTCGAGACTATCGTATTGATAAATTGCATCAATTTAGAGAGGCTCCCAAGCAAAATGCATACCCTCTCCTCTCTTATAAACTTGATGGTTGGTAACTGTCCAAAACTCGTGTCTTTCCCCGAAACAGGTATACCAACATCGGTGATATCATTATATGTTAAAGACTGCAATATGTTGCAATCTTTACCCAGAGGATTAAGTATTCATCCGGATGAACCAAGCAGTGGCAACAGCAGCAATAGCAATAACCGCATTGACATGACGTCTTGTCTGCAAGAATTAACAATTGACGGATGCAATTCTCTACCAGCTTCTCTATTCAGCGAGGGTAGTTTTTTACCTGCGACCCTCAAGACACTTAAGATTTCTTACTGCAATGGAGTGGAGTCGCTTGCGGAGATAAATGTAGACCGTCTTCAGTCGCTTCGAGAGATTAGAATTTGGAATTGTGAGAATTTGAGAAGTTTACCTCCGTGCCTGCACGGACTGTCCCATCTCACTTCCTTGATATTGTTCGAGTGTCCTGCACTGGAGCTAGAGTGCTTCCCTCCTCTTCCTCTCAGCATCTCGAGATTTTCTCTTTATAATTGTCCGAAGATAAAATCGTTACCTAATCAGTTGTATCAACTTCCATGTCTCCGTGAATTCGAAATTTCAGAGTGTGAGAGTATTACGCGCTTCCCCCACGGAGGATTGCCGCCCCAGCTACAGGAACTTGAAGTAACGGAATGCGGGAATATGAAGCAGCCGGTGAGGGAGTGGCTTACCCCCCTCACCTCCCTTCAATATCTCCGCATAGGAGGCGATGCTGGAGGAGTGGGAGAGGAGAAGGATCTTCGGCTTCCGCTCCCTTCCTCTCTGCTCCATCTCTTTATGCGGAACATGGGGAAGGTGGAAAGACTGGCCAGCAGTCTCCCTCCCTCTCTCCGTAAGTTATGGATCGCTAATTGCCCGAAGCTGAGGGAGTTGCCCCAGGATGGCCTCCCTCCCTCCCTAGAAGATCTCTGGATCTCTGAATGTGGGATTCTGGTGGAGCGATGCAAGAAAGGGAACGGCTGCTATTGGCCCCTCATCCGCGAAATCCCGATGGTCGCATTGACCGGTGACCCAATCCGGTCAATTACTTAAAAGGAGGATTCGGACTCGAATGCTATAATATGCGGGGAAGAGAGAGGGGGGGGGAGGTTTTAATATTATCTGAGCTTTGGCTTTTTTTTTTAAAAGGGGGTTCCGTATTTTAATTGTTTTTAGAAGATTTTAGTAGTAGTAAGCTTGAAGATTTTGCCCCGGTGACCCGCGGGTCGTATTTACCGGTGATGACACATTGGAGTCAATTACTTAAAAGTAGGATTCAGACTCGAATGCTATTATATGCGGGGAAGAGATAGGGGGGGTTTTAATATTATCTGAGCTTTGGCTTTTTTTGGAAATGGGAGTTCCGTATTTTAATTATTATTTTAGAAGATTTTAGCAGTAGTAAGCTTGAAGAAGCAGCAGCTGCTTTTGGGCGTAACCATCACCATCCCAATCACCGCCTCTCTCCGCTTCTTCTTCGGCTCTCCTCTTCTCGATCTCGCGAAGATTTCGATGGCCCTTCGGGGTAAAAACCAGGTATTTGATTTCAACTCGCTGTCAATTTCTCTCCTCAGATTTGGCACCGGTTCCCCCCCTCTCCATTGAAATGCTTTCTTCCCCCCGTGATCTCATCGGTCCGGCACAAATTGTCGTGAAAAAATCCCGGGGATGTTGTCGACGGGCTGATTTTTTTTATTTTTTTTTATTTTGGCATTCCACCAGTTTTTCTGCGCTCCCTCATCCACCAATTCTTTTGTCATCGCTCATTACCCAAGATTCTCTCTCGATCCTGCTTGCCTTGCAGATTACACTGGAATTCCCATTGGTGAAGTTTGGTCGGTACCCTTTCCTTCGCCATCGCCGCCTCACCGGTATTTAAGTCTTAGTAGGAGAAGATGCTGGAGGGGTTGACCCTGGACGTGAGATTGCTCCTCATTGTAGAGACGAAGAAGAAGGGTACATGCCACTGCAGCATAGCTTTCTTGTTAAGATCTCGGCTTTCGTGGAAGCTTTTCCGTGATCAGTTGGTTCTCGAATTACTCGCGGGGATCGAGGTATGTACGTGTTCTCTTTCCCTGTTCAATAAGTGTCTTGTTTTTCCCCGTGATGTTCGATCGGCTAGATGAATCTAAAATCTGGACATGATTTATGTGATGAATAAATAGCAAAAGACGAGTTTGAAAATGTTTGAAAGTTGCATCGCATCGAAAAAGGGTGGATCAAAACTTAAGGATGGATAGAGCAAAGTTCATGTCATGTTAATGGCAGTTAAGGTGCTTTAAATCATCTTTCCTGTTTTAGTCTGGACACTCCATTTGAACACATTTACTAAGTTGTGGAATGTATTCGACTATTTTCTCTGATTCTGATACGCCAAAATTACTCTGGCAGCATTCACCATAAGTGGAAGGAACTCGATATTAACTTTCTGTCTGCATCTACCGATTCAAAGTACTTATTCCCACCCACGCAATCTTCTCATTTCTGAGCATACTGTGACGCACATCGAGATCTATGGGGGAAACAGATTTGTTGTGCCTCAACCCTTCCATTCCAGCATTTTCCTCACCATCCAAGACTGAGGAATGGTTTAGTCGGTTTGAGTACAGACACAAATGAAGGCGTTTCGCGGACTGGTTAGCTCTCAATGAAATCTTTGCCCAAAGTTCATTTTGATAGCTATATTCTGCTTCATGGAGTCAAAGATGCATAGCTCTGGATTCTGGAGTCGCTGGTTGGCAAAGTTTAAAGGGTGAGTAGATTTGTTTCTGCTATTTCTATTGACTGGCTGTTTAAGAGGCGGGTAATGATCATGGGGTATAATCAGAACATAGAAAGAATCTCTTCTGAAGGATTAGCATATAGTCTGCATTCTACTTGTTTTGTTAAATTTCCGACAAATTGTCCGCATTCTACTTGTCCATTTCTAGCATTGTATCAAAGCACACGTCATTGGTTTAACATTTCTCGTCTGTTGTGTTGTTTGTTATCATTTCCCTGGATATCTCATTGATGTGATTATGCCCACATTGTGTCGTGCATGCGTAAGGGATCGGTTCTACGCAAGGGGAGTGTTAAGTTGTACGTCATATATACATTGCTCGGTACGTTTCCTAACAGCTTTAGCTTTTCATAAATGCATTTGTCTAACATGCAGCAATCAAATCAAACAGCTTGACCGATCAGCCAACCCTATGTTCTTGTTTGGTTCTTTCTTCTAGTAATTGTCGATTGTCTGGAAGACTTTCAGACAAGGAGTATAAGCCTCTCATAAAATCATCGAATTACAACAAGATTTAGAGCTTGGACAGTTAAAAGCCGCTCATATGCCATCAAACTTCAGCTTGTTAAATCTGTTATTCATAATCTGGTTAACTATTACTGTCAACTCTTTTTGTTGCCCAAGAAAGTTTTTGAAATGGTTGAGCGGAAGTGTAGAGCTTTCCTTTGGAAGGGAGATCTTGATGCTAAAGAGGGAGCAAAAGTTGAATGGGACACTGTCTGTCCTCCTAAGCACTTTGGAGGCCTTGGTGTTAGAAGACTGGATTTGTGAAATCTTGCTTGTATTTTAAAGTGTCTGTGGAGTATTTTGCTGAGGTGTGGTCTCTATGTTTTGCCGGGCTCTATAGCTATCATCTTGACTGTAAACAAGATGCTACTTATGCTTGGAAGAAGTTATTAAAAGTCGGGAATATTTGGAAACCCTGCATTAGATATATAGTGGGTAATGGAGATAATATTTCTCTTGGTATGATTGTGACACCATGCTGGGCTCTTGCCGGAATCATATCTCAAGGAGAATTACTTATGAATCTTCTCTTCCTCTGCAGGCCAAAGTATCTGCTGTAATTCGTAACTCTCATTGGAAGTGGCCCGCTGCTAGGTCTAGAGAGTTGGTTTCCATCCAAGCTGCCCTTTGTGGTGTGAATTTTCCTAATTCCTCAGCTGCAGAGAATGTTGTATGCACAGCTTCTTCAACTGGTTGCTTTGACTCTTTTGTTGCTTCGGAAATTGTCAGAAACAAGAATGCTGATATTGACTGGCACAGACTTGTGTGGTTCTCCCCTAATGTGCCAAGATTTGGCTTTAATTCTTGGTTAGTAATACATGATAAACTCCCTACGTTTGACAAGATTAACAGTTCATCTGTTGGGAGAACAATATCTCTCTACTTGATCTGTAATCTAAGCATTGAATGTCGCTCTCATCTAATTTTGGATTGGAGTTTCTCTAATGAAGAACAGAGGAAGGTCTTAATTCTGTCAAACTAATCATCATTAGATTTAATAAATCAATCTAACTGTACTTTTTATTATTTTGCTAGAAAATAACATCATTCATTGATCATTTGAAGAGTCTTACAAGAAGACATTATTTGTTGGAGAAACGGGAGGATCAGGTTACACTCAATCCTGGCCTTTCCTGGAGTTAGAGCAAAGCACAGATCGAGGGCTGAGCGGAGCATCAATGGCTATCTTGCAATCACTTTAATTGATGATGTTTGGGAGCTCCAAGTCCTTTTTTGAGGTTGCGAGCGAGATGGATGGCCACTGCTTCAATTTTGACCTAAGGCAAAAAAGGGTCAAACGCTCTGAGCTGGGGACTTTCTTTTCTGCTAAAACTGAGTTGGGGATTTTCGTTGGGAACTTATACTAGAATTTGACCCACGGTTAAAACAACGGAAAAATCCCGTCCCTATTTTGCAAATGATCGTAGTGGGCTTGATTGGATTAATTAATCAGTTCCTACAACAATAGAAAGTGAACATGGGCTTTCTAGACGATTTCACAATAGTGTTGATAACTTGATAGAACGTTAGGAATACCATGGGAGCCCCGTTAACATTGACCTGCTTAAGGGGCATGCTTCTCATCGAAAGAAGCACATTTCTCATCTAGATGCCAGAAGGAGCTCACTCTTGACGATAACGAGTGTTCACTCGACCCTAGGAAGGATGCACTTGGCCTCAAAGGAATGTGTGCTTGACATGAAGGAGGGAAAAATTACCAAAAAAATTATAAACCTATTATAATTGTACCAATACAATCCTAAACCATTTAATTTGGCTAATTTAGTTCTAAACATTTTGACAATTTAGTCTATTCGGTCAATTTTGGCTGAAAATTACTGATGTGGATGCCGGCTCTCCTACGTGGCACTGACGTAAACAAATTAAAAGGTTTATGACAAGTTTAGGATTTTTTTGATAATTTTTCCCTATGAATGAGAGAGTATAATATTATGAGAAGCATGCACTTCACCGTAAAAAAGTGAGCAATTTATCAAGAGGAAAGTGCACTTCACCTTAAAGAGCATGCACATTATTTAGAAAAGGACTGCGTCTCAACAGGGACCTTGTAATTTCTCCATGAACAAGTATCTCTTGACACCCTTGACACCCTGTATTTAGCTGGTTCAAGAAATGGGGGCCAGACAACAACAAGAAGTACTGTGCGAAGGAGAGGAAGAAGGGATCAAACGTCATTCTCTCTCTACCGATAGAACGACGGGTGATATTTTACACCCTCAAAGCATGGATGGCAAGCTGAGAAGATGTCAACATGATGCAGTGAAGATTTAGCTCGAAATACTCACTTTACTTTACCTCAAAGAGAGCAACTTTCATCTATGCACGCTATTGTCCAATATGAGAATAGGTTGACAGCAACACTCGCAGGAGACCTAACAAAAAGCGCCGGTAGCTACTTCAACAGAACGAAGACCCCATCAACCACAAATACAAGTTTATCATCCAAATGAGATCAAAATATCCTCCTTCACTGCACAAATACATACGGACAGCAAGCTCCTAGGACATCTTATGCACGCTTTGAACATAAGAATGTGATATTTCATCTGTCGGAAGATAAGGCCTATACTAATGGATTTCTATCTGGCGGTACATCTATACACATACTCCAACATTAGATTCACTAGAAAAAGGGCTTTTGTCGGCCAAGCAAATCCGTCGCCAGAACTTGATATGTATCATGTAACTGGAGCTTTTAGCGACAAGACCCCTCGTCACGAAGCTTCGTTGCTAGACCCGTGTTGCAACATATTTTGGCAAAGAAAGTTGCGCCTGGCACTAAAATGTGTTCATCACTAGAAATAGTGGAGATTTAATGGTTTTGGCGATGATGTGAGTTTCATGGCTAACTTGTGCGAGCATTGTTGTAACTAAAAACAAAGGAATTGTCCAAAAAGTCCTAAATCTACTATACGGCAGTCAATTCAGTCCTAAACATTTTGACGATTTACAAACTTAGTTATAAACCTTTCAATTATGCCAATTTAGTCCCAACCCTTTCTACATTTTGCCAATATAGTCTTTCAGGCCAATTTTGACTGGAAATCATTGACGTAAACGTTAGCTGTCTTACGTGGCGCTGCCAGCGCTAATCTGGATAACTTTTGCAATTTTTTAAAAATTTTCTGATTTTTTTATAATTTTTTCACTAGATCTAGTGTTGGCGATGGTCACCCAGGCGAGGGTGGTCCTCGCTGTGGCCGGCGGGCAAAAATGAAAGGAAAGAAAAGAAATAGAAAAGGAAAGGAAAACAAAAGAAAAGGAAATGAAAAAAAAAATCGAAAAAAATTGCAAAATTTTCCCTGTCAGTACTCACCACGCCACTTAGGAGGCTGGCGTCCACATCAGTGATTTCCGACCAAAATTGGTTGGAAGAACTATAATGGCAAATCGTCAAAAGGTTTATGACCAAATTGGCACAATTGAAAGTTTTACGACTGAATAGGCCTCGATAAAATAGATTTAAAACTTTTTGGACAATTTTTCTGAGGAAGGCTTAAGCTCGGACCTACCTCACCTACCACTGGAATCGGTTTAAGAAAGTTTTTGCCATTCACATTTAAACGGTCTCAACTGTTAAAAAGCTTTCAGATATATTAGGGTTGAAACTCTTCATTCAATGCTGATCTTCGACATTCGCTCTTCTTGTAATGTTATCGAGTAAATGAAGTAATATCTTTTCGTTTTTTCAGGATTTTGCTGATCATACTTCTACACTAGGTCATTTGAAACATCTCATGCGTATTTGGCTTTAGTGGCGATTGCCATTGCTGCATGAGTTTGCCGCTATAACCTCAAAGATCGTGTAAATCATTGGTAGATTTTGTTTTACCGATCGAGAACTCTTGTGAATTAGGCCCGCGAGATTGAGAAGGTTTTCTGGACTTGGGCCTGAAATACTCTAATTTGTAATTTGAAATCTGAATTCGAACCCAACGAGCCCAAGCGCAAATTTTGATTTCGTTCGACTTGCCTCGGCTAATTCGTTCAAATCTTGCACCGAGATGTCTCGATGAACATAATTAAATCGCTTTCATTATAGTATAGCAAAGGAAGATCCTGAAAAGCCCAGCATCTAATTGCCAAATTCAACTTTGATTGAGTTAGAAAAGTATACCGAAAGCAAGCTGTAGGGAAGGAGCCTCAAGCCTATAATCTGACGTTTTGTGTGATCATCGCTCTTAATTCAATTTTTCCTTTGTTTCCATGTCCTAATTATAAACCGGATGAGGTCAAATAGCTGGGATGAATGGCATAAGGACTATAGTGTCACATAGAATCAATTTCATTGCTATAACTTTAACAGTGGAATGCTTTTTTACAAGAAAAGAACAAAACAAGTCCAAAACTTATTGAATTTGTGCCAATTCAGTCCTAAATCTTTCCATTTGCAAATTGTACCAATTTAGTCATAAAATTTTTTCACATTTTTGCAAATTGAGTCCATCTG